AATTCTGTCATTTCTCTTTTCGTCGTAGTGTCCGCCATGACTTCTTCAATTTTCACGTGAGCATTTTCAAGTGAGGTTTCGATATCACACACCCTTTCTTCCATTTTCCTTGCAAGTGGTGCAATCTTTACTACCTCTGTCGGTACTTCGAGAATTTTCTTTAAAATGATCGATATTTTCTGATCGGTCGGGAGATTCATTAACTTTTTGATTTCGGGCGATTCATTCATGTGCTCGGCGCCATCTTGGTTTTCATTTCTGTCCGGTGTAGTCCTCCTCGTTGATCTTGTAGATCCATTCAGCATCTGGTCTACTTTCCTGTCTTTACCTTTCACACCGACTTTATTACTCGCCATGATGTACCTTTGGTTGATATTGTGAGCTAAATCTTGTATTTCTTATTCTATTTGGTGGAGCCGATCGGTTACGATGATAGTCCTACTCGCGCATGCGCACCTCCTCCTTCTGTGCATGGTTTGCAATATGTCATATGGCTTCTGTGCATGGTTTGTAATATGTCATATGGCTTCTGTGCATGGTTTGTAATATGTCATATGGCTTCTGTGCATGGTTTGTAATATGTCATATGGCTTCTGTGCATGGTTTGTAATATGTCATATGGCTTCTGTGCATGGTTTGTAATATGTCATATGGCTTCTGTGCATGGTTTGCAATATGTCATATGGCTTCTGTGGATGGTTTGCAATGTCATGTGGCTTCTGTGCATGGTTTGTAATGTCATGGCTTCTGTGCATGGTTTGTAATATGTCATATGGCTTCTGTGCATGGTTTGTAATACGACATATGGCTTCTGTGCATGGTTTATGAAGTGTCATGGCTTCTGTGCATGGTTTGTAATATGTCATATGGCTTCTGTGCATGGTTTGCAATGTCATGTGGCTTCTGTGCATGGTTTGTAATATGTCATGTGGCTTCTGTGCATGGTTTGTAATATGTCATGGCTTCTGTGCATGGTTTGTAATATGTTATGGCTTCTGTGCATGGTTTGTAATATGTCATGGCTTCTGTGCATGGTTTGTAATACGACATGGCTTCTGTGCATGGTTTGTAATATGTCATATGGCTTCTGTGCATGGTTTGTAATATGTCATATGGCTTCTGTGCATGGTTTGTAATATGTCATATGGCTTCTGTGCATGGTTTGCAATATGTCATATGGCTTCTGTGCATGGTTTGCAATGTCATGTGGCTTCTGTGCATGGTTTGTAATGTCATGGCTTCTGTGCATGGTTTGTAATACGTCATATGGCTTCTGTGCATGGTTTGTAATACGACATATGGCTTCTGTGCATGGTTTATGAAGTGTCATGGCTTCTGTGCATGGTTTGTAATATGTCATATGGCTTCTGTGCATGGTTTGCAATGTCATGTGGCTTCTGTGCATGGTTTGCAATGTCATGTGGCTTCTGTGCATGGTTTGTAATATGTCATGGCTTCTGTGCATGGTTTGTAATATGTTATGGCTTCTGTGCATGGTTTGTAATATGTCATGGCTTCTGTGCATGGTTTGTAATATGTCATGGCTTCTGTGCATGGTTTGTAATACGACATGGCTTCTGTGCATGGTTTATGAAGTGTCATGGCTTCTGTGCATGGTTTGTGATACGACATATGGCTTCTGTGCATGGTTTGTGATACATGTGTATGTCATATGGCTTCTGTGCATGGTTGATGTATCATGTTTGTGCTGGTTCATGCGACATGGCTGCTGTACCCGATTCATGCGTCTTGGTGTCTCTGTACAATAAAGGATTCATAGATTCTATTTATTCTGTTCCATACAACTTTGCGAACATGATACACCTTCTGCACACGATTCATGGAGTGTCTTACTTTTTTGCATTCCTAAGAAACTACCTTTAAATAAACAACTACTAAAATTTTTCACCTTCCCTTTCCAGCCTTTTAAACGCAGCTTTATTTTTTTTATTAAGCTTTTCCATCTTTAGAAACTTTTCTTCTACATTCCAAACCAACTTTTAAAGTCTGACCCCGACAATTGAATTAGCTTTTGATCAGTTCTTACCATCAACTTCTATGGTTGACCACGTTTGAATGTTGAATATGGTTGACACGCTCATTATGAAAAAGTTAATTGATTTCTAATTCTTTGACTCATTTTTATAATATCCAAGAATACTTTAACTCAAACTGCTTTTTTCTACTCATCATTGGTAACGTCTCATTACACGACATAACTTGTACACTAACTTGTATAAAGTACAATTTAGGTTATGGGTGACAGTTGCACATAAAATATTCTCTTAACATGCTGAACCAAGTGATAAATGTTTAATACTATTGTATTATATTTATATTATATTTTCCTATACATGTACCGGTATATGCAAATTGTTCAGCAACCATGGTAGACCACATTTAAACATGGTGGTTCATGGTTGACTGTGGCTATAGTTCCAGATAACCAGTCATTAACCACGGACTTGATTGCAAACCATGGTAGTCTATGGTTAGCAAACTAAAAAAATTGAAGAAATTGTCAGCCATTCACCTTGATTGTGTGCCTTGCGTGTTTGGCTCCATTTTGCGGTTCATTTCCAATATTTTGATTATACAACTTTTCTTCTTAGTTTTCACATTTTTACCTTTTCTTTCATCTTTGACTGGCAAGGTAAAAATTGTTTCAGGCAACACAGAAAAATTACTCAATAGATAATGGGGGATGCATGAATGCCTAAATGTGTGTGCACACACACCTTCCCAAAACATGTCTCATGGTCTGACATACACAATTCAAGGAGCAGTAAGATAATATGGTCATGCCAACTCTTCATTTAAAATATACTCCCACATATTAAAATTTACATGTACATCTAAATATCACATTGTATACTGTTATTACCATAGCTTAGGTTGCGAGTTACACCCCGATGACAACAATATAAAACCGGCAAAATGAATATACGTGCCAGTGAATATACCCTGTGAATTATTGAAAAAGAAAATCAATGAATAATATGCAATATTCAGTTACATAAATGGAATGACAAAATGAAAGGAAGTGTGCCCATTGAAAAAGATCTTTGCTAAACTTGCATCAAAGTGTAATAACGACATACAACAAACAAGGTGAAAACAAAGAATATTCAATCGTACATAATACATTCTATCTGAATTTGACCCCCAAAAAATACCAGAACAGTTGGCTGAACACAATGCCATCTTCAAAAAGGACTATTGATTTGACATGAACAAATGGTTTCATGATTTTAGTTGAGAAATTACTTTACTACCGTAAGCTCATTGCCAGTATCAACTAATACTAATCATTACTACATAATACTACATGTAACTTTTCACTGTTCATCTCCATCTCAAATGGTCAAGCTTTTACGATGATAAATCTTTGCAATAGGTATATTCGCCCAAGCCAGGTCCAACTCGTTTCAAATTGGTAATATGATCTGAGATCTCCTTCATGCTCTCAACTTGTTCACAAAGGAATGTTTCTGCAAAGGAAAAGACATATGCGTTGAGAAGATTGATGTTGCTTTCAAATGAAATAAGCCCTGGCATCCATATTTAGCTGATATAACACGACAGGATGTTATTGTAGTATTGATGTTTGATGTCTATAATTAATACAATTTTTGATTATGTGCATCTGTATTGAGATTCTAATAAAAAAATAGACAAGTGAAATGAGGGTATTTTCCGGTGTTGCTGATAACTTACCTTCAATAAAATCAGACATATGGGAATCTCCATGTTTAGAAGCCAATTCGTGCAAGTCCAACAATGCTTGATTGACAAGTTTTTCTAAATCTAATGCAGTCTCAAAAGCTTGCAATAAAGTGCCCCATTCATCTTTTTGAGGCTTCTTGACATCCTGTAGAACAATACGGCCACCTCGCTTGTTTTGAAATTTCATAAGCTAAAAGACAAAGATTTACATATTAAATGTGTATCACAAAATGGAAGGTTTTATCACTCAAAAAATATTTAGAATTCAATGCCTTTCAAGGTTCTGCTAAGGGCATTATAGAGTAGGGGTCCCGACTAATAAATTTCAGATAAATAATAGAACCAACAAACAATCAAGCATAACAATTAATGCAATAGAAATCATTAACATTCTATTGTTATGCAAATACTGTATGCACTGCAACATCATGCATGTAATTTCTGTATTTTTCAGTAAATGCATTAGTTATTCAATGGTTTTTAATTTTGCTATTCTTACGATGCAAGAAATGCACTAAATTAAATCCAAGTGAACATGTAATATAAGAATAGACCTTATCGTTTCCTTGCCAAGTTTGTGAACAGTGAAATTAAATGCCTGTGAAAATGTTTTAGGGTTTTTGTTAACCCCAAATACAGGACCCCAGGAAATAGTGCCCCATTTATGGTAAAATAATTTATACTATTAGTATCTCATTTGTAGATTAAAGGCATGTAATATTCATTATATTCCATTCCCTGTGTGTTAAATGCACAATGATATCACACTTTCCTGAAACCAAGATAATATTCGACTGTAGAAATAGAAATGGGCACTTGAACAAAGCGTTAAATTCAGGGCAAGATGGCAGTCGAAATTAGTATGCTAATTCGACCCACTCTGGTTACATGATTGGCGGGTTGCTTCGCTTTTGCTTTCAACGGCATACGCACTAAACGACATGAAAAAACAACCTTGGACAAACACTAATCCGTTTTTCTACAGACTCCCTCGATATTATCTGGCAATCGCATAACTTCATGTTAGGATCTTTATCGCATATCACACCAGTTGCTTATCTTTGTACAACAATGGGACATTTTCGCACATTTTTTTTTAGAAACCAAATCTGGGTAGCCGAGAGAATACAACTACGCCAAACTACTCGTGTCTACGCGACTAAAATCACATTCGTGCGACAAGACTATCCCTCTTACGGGATAAATGAGACAGCATAGCCGTAGACGACGCCGTAGACTATAGTCGTCGTTTTCAAAACAATGGCGGCCGTGAAAAAGACAATGAATAGGAGATACTATGGGTAATTTCCGACAACTAGTAGTTGTCTTGTAGTCTACAATTGTTTGCATTACAAATATAGGTGCGACGACAACTATTCGTACCTTCTCTGCATGTTCTCTTTCTTCGTCTGAAGACTTCTTGAAAAACTTGCATGCACCGCCTAAAGAGATATCATCACGGTCATAGTGGAGTGCCATTGAAAGGTAAACATAGCTGGAATACAATTCCAAATTTATCTGCTTATTTACCGCCGCCTCACATTCTTCATGATAATTTTGACGACACTGTGCCATGGCTGACTGGTTCAACTAGATTATATTGTAAGAAAATGGATAAAACGAGCAGAACAAATAACACACACTGACAGTGTTTGTTACTGGCAGCGTAAAAACGTAAAGAAAGATAAACAGCGAAGCGGAAGTGGGGATGCAATGCATTATGGGACTTAAATTCACCGAAATAGTCTGACGCGCATGTGCAACAGAACTAATCATTCAAATCAAGGGCAGTAGAAAAGAAAGCTCGCGTCAATATAATACTAGAAATAATACACGAATATTGTCCTTAGCCAAAATAAGTTATTAGTTACATTGCAGTCATAAATACAAAAAAAATCAGTACTACAAGCATTGTTATGATAACATGCTTTGACTTCGTGGTGGTTTTGCACACCCTGCTCAGACTCCGAGATTTAAACGTATGCCTAGCGCGTACACAAGACATAGCCAATCGCTTTTTGAAAACGTCTGAATACGGGACGCTTGCCTGCTCTTCATCATAAATAGACGGGGTATGACACGCCTCAAGCTGACCAATAGGTGATCGCTATATAGAACATGTGACCAGCAATTTTTCATCCAATGATCGTACCATTGTTTACGTGTATTATTATATCTTCTTCGCATTATAGTATACTTTGCCGTTTATAGAATAAGGTACACAGCATTTTAAGTTATTTAAAAACATAATGCACTGATCTGGGCTAAATATCGAGTGTTTCACTTTGCTGTAAAATCCAGAAACTTCAATAAGGGATTGGACAGTTACTTCGGCCTAGGGGGTGGATCAGTGTGGGGGGTGTTTTTGATTTTGCAAAGGGGGGGGGGGTCCACTCTGTATTTGATATCACGAATGGGTGATTGGGAGGGGCACCATGTTTTCCAGAATACTCACACGTGCTTATGCATATATTTTTTAAAAAAATATTTCAGAACAAAGGATGAAAAAGTAAATGGTACAAATGTGTTCTCAATAATAACTATTACCTATATTGCCTAAAACATTTTTGATGAAAACAAAGTTATGGGCTAAATATTTTGGGGTTGAAGTTGCCAAATAACTAACAGATTATGCAATGCGGCTAGAACCCCAATTATACTGTTAAGTTTTAAACACATCCCAAGTCCATGTGCTGCTGATATTAGATTATTTTATTTAAAGTCTGAAGTCACTATTGTATAAGATATTTACTGGATTTATCCAATTACAACATGATACGGAAAGACAAAACAGCAATTAGTACAAAGAGATATGACAGATTTTGTTCAGCAAATCAAAAAAGTTAAATTTGTCCAAATGCTGATATATAAATTAAAATAAATGATGAAAAAATAAATTAATATTTTTTTTTTTAAATTGTAAATATGCATATTTTGCTCTGTAAAATGCCAAAATCCAACAAATTTAAGCCAAAATCAGTTTTCTTTGTTTTCATAAGCACAGACTATGCTTCGGGTGTAAGTCATTCCTGGTCTATAAGATATACATTTTGTAATCATTTTTCACGGGGGAGGGTCAGCATGTTTTAAAATATAATGATGGGGTGGGTCACCCACTTTTTTTTATTTGATAGGGGGTGGGTCAACTGAGATTTACAGCTGGCAAAATGGAATCTGCCCCCCCCCCCAGGCCGAAGTAACTTACCAATCCCTAATCGCTTCTGTGGGGTCAATTTATGATATCCGCTATGTGAACTAGATGCTGACTGGATGCGTAGCTGCCGTTCTATGCATATTTAAACTTAGTTCGATGAAGGGCAAAATAATCTTACCGGCGATAAAAAAAAATCGGTATACTAGTACCGTCGCAATATTGCAGCTAACGATGCTTTGTTAACAACAACTCCGGGTAACTCTGATTTGGGGCAATATTGGTACGTCAGAGTGTGATAACTTCAAGAATAGGCTCGATCAAGCAATGTTTTAAGTATGTACATAAATAATTTTAAATTAGTTTATTACTGTATTTCATTACGATTTTTCGAAAGCAGCACATAAAAATTACGTACTGTTTCACGCTAAAATAATGAAGATTTGGTTATTTAGCCTTCGACCGTCAGCTACGAATGCCATAAATAATAGAGTTCTATTTCTACGAATACTAGTATATGTAGACTGGTGCAGT